GCACGAGCGGCTCCCAGTGCATCCGAGTACCGATGGGGAATGGTTCGTGCTCACGCCGGACGGCGACTTCTATGAGGAATATGTTTCTTGTCGTGACCCTGATAATGGTGCAGTTCGAGCAGTTCTGCTTGACGACGCTGGCGCCGACAGTGCGATCGCGGCCCGCATTTTCTACCGATTCAGAATGTACCCAAGTGACTCCGACCTCTTGAGCCTGATGAAGGAGGCTCGGGGGGCACTCGAGGAGAACGGGCAGGGCGAGATCGTGGAGCATCCCAGTGAGTACGTGGGGTCGACTGGTGACCGCGTTCGACTTCGGCCTGGTGGAGATCCTGCTCGGCGTCTTCGGGGCAAACAAGGGCCGCCCTTGTCGCCTCCCGCGGTGGCTCCGCCCGCTCTGGCGCCCGCCGGGGTCGGGGGCGCCCCGGCGCCCCCGGGCTCGCCGAGAGGCGGGCGGGCGGAGGCGTTCGAGGACGGCGGGTCGCCCTTGGACATGCGGGCGACCGTGGAGACCGTTGGTGACGTGAAGGAGGGCACCGAGGTACTCATCAAAGACGGCGACCTCGTGCGAGGCGACCGAGCATTGGTGGGCCTCTCTCCTGGCGCGCGGGTCTTCGCGCGCAGGTGTCGCGAGGGGGCCGGCGTCGGCGCCGTCGGCGAGGCGGGCCCGGGGGGCGACCTCGCGGGGAAGCCCCCTGCCGCGGACGCCTTGGCTGACGCGAGGGCGCTGGCGCCCGCCCGCTACGACCCGAGCGGGCGGCGCTGGGATGGCTTCAACAGCTCGGCGGGCCGCGCGCACGCAGGGCCGATGGAGGACTTTCCTCTGGAGGGCGAGAGGTCGACCATGTGGCTGATGAGGCACCGCGACCATGGGGGCACCTTCGACGGCCGACAGACCAAGTGGGCCTTAGAGCACAAGATCGACCGCAGCAGCGCGGCCTACCTGATGCACGACTTGCTGGGGTTGGCGCTCGACCTCAGCGCGTGCCACGACCAACTGGACGTGGCGAACCTTGGCCGCGTAGAGGTGCTGGGCCGGATGTGCCAGCTGCGTGGAGAGACGACGGGGCCCCTGCAGCTGGAGGGCCTGGAGCACTGCCTGGGCTGTTAAGGCCCAGTGAAGCGACCCCCCCCCTTAAGTTTCGCTCAGTGCGTCGCCCGAGCGTCGCCCGTGCGCCGGCCCTGGTTTGCGTCTCTGTCCCGAATCCCGGCCTCCCAGAGTGCGTGGGCGACATATGGCGCGACTTCGGAATTTCTCTGGCGATATATAGGTTTCCGACGCCGGTGCACCAGCAGCCATTTTGGCGGTCGCTGCGCACTCTAGTTCGACGGTCCACCAACGCGTTCTGTTTCCAATTCGGCGCAAGTGGATTTGTTGGTGCTCATTTTCGGGGGCGCCAGCCGTTGCTGAGGACGAAGACGCCTCGCGTTGATTGGGGGCCGTGCGTGTCGCGCCGCGGTGGGGGTGACGTCACGTCGCGCGACGCGGCGCCACTTCGCCCCGTCGCATCGCGCCCCGCGCCCCCATGTCGTTTCGCGCCAATCCTCCTGCCCCCCCCCCTCTTCCTTCCTCTTCCCCTCGTCCAATGCGCTGCGCGTTTTGTCCCGTTTGCGAAATTGGCATTCAGTTCTTTTGCGTCGGGCTGCCGCCCTGTCCGCCTCCCTACTCGCCCCCCGTTGTCCTTTCACCTTCCTGGAACTTCTTCTCGCCCTCCTCGCCCCCGCCGCCCCCCTTCGATCGCCTTCCATCGCTCCCGCCGCCGCTGCGCCGCCCCCGCGCGCCCCATCCTCGCCCGTCCGTTCCCATTCCCGCCCGCCCTTCCCTCGCCTCACTTCCGTCCTCTGCTTCCCCCCCAATGCATCGGCGGGGGAGACGTCGCCAAATTGCTGCCGCGACGGACCGATGTTCAAAATCTGACGGGTCGTGCGCTTGAAATAGATTAGTCCGCACGCGCTGCATCTCCATGTCGTTTCTTGGTCTCCTCGCGTTCGCAGTTCTCACGTGCGCGTCTCGCTATTTCTACGATTGCCGCGCGCGTCCCTTGATTGTTTCGCCAGCGGGCCGTGCAGTTCGCATGCCGTCAGGAGTCCACGGCGCCCGTCGAGCGATTCGCGCGCGACCTGCGCGCAACTCGCGAACGGCCCGAGCGACGCCCGCGCGACGCCCGCGCGACGCGCGCGCGACGCGCGCGCGACGCACCCCGACCCGCGCGCGAAGCACCCCTGCCAGCGCGCGACGCACGATCGACCCGCGCGACGCACGCGCGACGCACGCGCCACGCGCGCGACGCACGCGCGACGCACGCGCGACATGCGCGCGACGCACGCGCGACGCGCGCGCGACGCACGCGCGACGCATGCGCGACGCAGTCGCGGCTTTGCCCGCCCCTAGGATTTCTCCGAGCAGCAATGCGCAACGGCCGTCGGCCCGCCGTGCTTGCGCTGTTCACAAGTGGCGGCGGGAAAGGCGGTGCTTGCCCTTGTTATTTCCCTTTTCCTTCTTCGTCGTCCCTCTTCTTTTGTGATTCCCCCTCCTTCGTCCTCTCTCCTGCCTCGTCTCCCTCTTTCCTCCCTTTCTCCTCCTCCTTTCTACCGGCCCCCCTCTGTCTGTCCCCCCCCCCCCTCCTCTCTCGTCTTTGTTTTTTTTTCCTTGCCACCCCGTGTCCCTCTTCATTTTCTCATTCTCCTTCGGCCCCCCTTCCGCGGCCGCGGCGCGTCGCCGCGAGCGGCGCCCCCGCCTTCCGCGAACGGCCCCGCCGCTGGCGGTGGAAGAGGAAGATTACGAGGAGAAAAGGGAGGGGGGAAGGGCAGGGGCGCGAGGCGGGCGCGGCGGCAAGGGCGGCCCGGCAGGGGAATGGGGGGAGAGGGGGGGAGGACGGAGTGGGCGGGTGCTTCTGTAATGGTCATGTTGGTGATCATGGTCGTGGTCGCGTTCGTCGCCTTGGTCGCGCTGGCGGCGGTCGTGCCGCTGGTGGTGGCCGGTCTGGTGGTGGTCACGTCGGTGATCGTGCTGGCGTCGGTCGTTGTGGTGGTCGCGAGAAGCGTGGTGGTCGCGGTGGTGGTGATGGCGGTAAATGGTGTTGGTCGTAATCGTCGCGGTCGATGTGGTTGCGGTCGCATCCGTTCGTGGTGATGTGGCGGCGGTAGTTTTGGCGCTGGCGGCGGTTGCGGCGGCTGCGGCGGCGGCTGCGGGGACCTGCTGGCCTATCGCCGGGGCGCGTTCAGCAGCATCGCTGCATTTGTAATGCAAGAGGGGTTTGCTGATCTGCCGAGGTAGCCCAGCGGCCGCCTTCTTCTCGCCAAGAGAGCCGCAGTGTGGGCGACTTTCTTCTTCCCGAAGGCGACCGGCCTTCTCGGCGGCCGTGGAGAGGGCGACGCGCGCGCGATCCGCCCCGCGGGTGTCCGCCGCGCCGGCGACGCACTCACCAAATGGCCCCCTTGCGAGGGCGACGTGCACGTTCGAGGGGGCGGCTGGCCTTTTCGGCGGCCGACGCGCGGGCGGCGCGCGGGCGACGAATGCGCGACGCACCTCCTGTCGCGAAGGGGGGGGGGGTCAGCACGCCGGTCGCTTTACTGGGCCTTAACGGCCTGGGCCGCGACCGCGCGGGCGGGCTCAAGCGAGGAGTGGCTCTCTGCCCGGCGCTCGCGAAGCGCGCCGCAGACCTGCAGTGCAAAGAGGCGGAGGTGCTGAAGCAGCGCCGCAAGGCGAGGGAGGAGGCCGCCGCCCTCAAGACGAAGGGAGGTGGCAAGACCCAGGGCTCCGGGCAGGGGTGATGGACAGCACGGGGGAGCGCCTCGGCCCCCGCGCTGCGCACCGAGGCTCATTCCACCGACGTGCTGCAGCAGCTGAGTCGGGCGATGGCATGTTCCCGCTTGCCGCCCCTGAGCCGCTCGCTCGCCGCGAGGGCGTTTTTTTCGCGAGGGGCCCCCCGTCGGCTGGGGAGGCGCCTTGCTAGCCATGACATGGCCCGCCAGTCAATGAGCGCATTAAATTTGCTTGCCAGCTACAGCGACCCAGTCGCCTCGCCTGGCCGGCAGGGGCTGGCGGATTTTGTCTTTCGCGACGTTCTGCGTTTGCATCGGGGCCGCGCCCCTGCCCCACCAGAATTGGTTCCTCAGGAAGCCTTGCGGGAGCTCCTGGGGTCTGCACCGTCGGGCTATTCGCCGGAGCCCGACAGCGCTACGGTGCGGCCCTACGCCCGAGAGGCTGTGAGTTGGCCTGCTTGCGGGAACGCGCTGGTTGATGTCATGACCGCGGCCCCCTCGGACGTCCTTGGATTTTTAAATGCAGGGCCTCGCGCCCGCTGGGTGCGGCAGTGAGACGAGCTTAGTGAGTTGAGAGAGAGAGTGAGGGCGTTCCTAAGACTTATCGTGACTCTGTATGTGCTAGTGAGACTTCGAAATATGTTGAATTCGCGCGGGATGGTCTCAAGCGGAATATTTTCTAAGCTGAGTAGCCGGCGGGCCGAGAAGGTTCACCCGTTCTTTGTAAAGAAGAAAGACGGTAAGCTTATAATAGTTCTAGATTGCAGGCGGCCAAGCCAACATGTCAAAGACCCCCGAATGTACATCTCTTCTCGGGGGCCAGTTTCTGTGAAGGAGGTGTCGAGCCAGGGGGGGGCTTTTCTTTTCAGGGGTGGATGTGCAGAATGTATTCTATCAGCGCAAAATGCCAGAGGGGCTGTCGTTTTACTTCGGGCTGGGCCCTGTTGCGGCCAAGGATCTAGGTGTGACTAGCATAGAGGGCGTGGCCGTGGATCCAGACGCTAAGCTGTTCCCGCTGCTTAATGTGGTTCCGATGGGCTGGAAGTGGGCCCTTTACATCGCGCGGCGTGTTCATGAACGCGTTCTGGAGCAAGGTTCCGCTTCTGAAGCAAGTCGTCGTGCCGGCGATTTTCGCCCCCCCCCCCCTCGGTGCAGCGCCGCGCCTTCTATTCCTCGTATGTTGACGACGTGCTGGTGGAGGGGCGCGATGCGGAAGAGGTGGGGAGGTCGGGAAGGAGGGCGGCAGTTCTTTTGGAGAATGCGGGTTTCAGAACGCGCGACTTCAGCGAGGCTAGCACCGAGATGCGCACCTTGGGGGTGGAGCAGGGCGGCGCAAGCCAGACAGCGCACCTATCTTCGACTCGCTACTGGAAGCTGCGGTGGGCCCTAGAGGTCCTTCTGAAACGAGAGGTGCCGATCGCCAGCTGGCAGATGGAGCGACTCCCGGGGCATTTCACGTTTGTCGCTCCACTTCGGCGGGAATTCCTCAGTACCCTGCGGGCCTCGTATGATTCCATTCAGTCGGGTTCCCAGGGGCCTCGGGTGATCTGGTCGAGCGTGGAGCGCGAGCTGAAGATGGTGCAGGGGCTGCTTATCTTTACCGGGCGTCACCTCGGGTCTGCTTGGGGCCCGCGAGGGTCAGCCTTCGACGCCTGCGAGAGTGGGCGCGCGACCGTCGAAGCCACGGCCGACTTGGAACAGATAACCAGGATCGCCTGCTGGATCGAGAGATGGCGATGCAAAGGCTGGGGGCGCGTGGAGGATCCTCTTGTCTTTCAGCCTCGTCAGCGCGCCTTAGTGAACGTAGAGCACGAAACCGCCCGGAGTCCAAACGAGAACGATCCAGATGTTAACCCCTTTTTCCCCGAGGTCCCCCATGACTTTATAAATGAGCTCACCTGGAAGACCGCGAATTTCCAGCCGATCTTCAATCCAGAGGCTATTCACATTTCGGAGATGAGGGGATTACTCGGAGCTATTCGGAAGCGCCTGCTCGGGGATTTCACGTCTCGGCACGCATATCACCTGGTCTTGGGAGATCACTTGGGGCTCATGCCGTCTCTGTCGAAGGGCCGTTGCCGGGGCCCGACGCTGCTGATGCTGCACCGCCGTGCTGCTGCCTGGATGTTCGCCACTGGCTCAAGATTCGTGGGCAGGTGGATTCCCTCTGAGGTTAACCCTTCAGATGAACCATCCCGGCGGCGTGAAGCGACGCGCGGCCGCGGCGGAGGCGGGGGGCCGGTGCCCCTCGGCGCCTCAGATACATCTTCGACCGCCGCCTCCCATGACCAGATCTGCGACGCACGGCTGTGCACGTCGGGCGGGGCACGCAGCTCGCCACGTTCGTGGAGGGCCGCTTGTGCCACCTCGTGCGAGAAAGGGGCGTCCGAGAAGGGGTCCCCCCGAGAGGCCCTGATGGTGGCTGTGGGTGGCCTGATGCAGGCTCCCAGCCGCCGTCAAGGTCACCCAATACTCGGGCGGCTAGAGCAGGCCGCCGACCTGAGCCAGAACGAGATGGACAGCCTCGAGTTGGCGAAGGCCGCCGATCGATTGAGAAAATACGGGGCCCTGAGAGACACTACCCAGCACGGGGGCATTCTCGAGCAGGCCTCGGTGATGCCAAAGACTCGTGCGCAGTGCTCCGCCGACATCAAGAACTTTATTCGCGTGGAGAACGCGAGCGACCTGAGCGCGGCGCCCCCGGTCTTGGGCGCGAAGATGGCGCAGCACATGGACAGGGTGTTTTTTCTGGGGGAAGGCTGCGGGCTCCGGCGAGAAGCTGCTGGCAGCGGTGCAGTACTACGTGCCCGCCTACGGCAGCAGGGGCGAGGCCGCCTTGCCGCGCGCTGTGCGGGCGATCCGCGGTTGGCGAAGGCTCGTGCCCAGCCGAACGCGGCGACCCCTTCCGCGGCGCGTGGTGGCGGGGATCGCGACCGGCCTGATGCGAGAGCACGGGGTGAGCTACGCTCTGTGCTGGCTGCTGATGGTGGATGCGTATCTTCGGCCTGGCGAGTGCATCGCCCTTCGTACGGATCAGGTCGCGAAGCCAGCCTTCCAGGAGCACGTGGCGAGCCTGGCCATCATCCTGCGCCGCGCCGAGGACGGAGTGCCCGGCAAGACGGGGGCCGTGGACGAGAGCCTGTTGGCGAACAGGCAGTGGCTCGCCAAGGTGTTGCTCGCCTACGCGGAGCTCCGGCCCAAGTCGGGCCGCCCGTGGGACTTCGACCTGCTGACGACGCGGGCAAAGTTCCTGGAGGTGTGCCACCAGCTCGAGCTGCAGCGCTGGAGCCCAGTGCTGTACATGTGCCGCCGCACCGGCGCCTCGCTGGACCGCCTGGAGAACTGGGTGAGCCTCGCGGAGGTGCAGAAGCGAGGGCGGTGGCGGTCCACCGCCAGCGTGAGACGATGCGAGAAGCGAGCCCTGGTGCAGGAGGTCTTCAACAGCCTCAGCGCCGGGACCTGGCGCTTCTGTCTAGCCAGCGAGCAGCCGCTGGAGGTCGAGCTGCCGCCAGGTCGGGCGCCTCCCCGGCGCCGGACAGCCCGCCAGAAGCTGAGCCGATTCTGCATAGAAGTGTTCAGTGGGCACGGAGAGCTTACCAAAGCCATCCACTGACAGGGGTGCAAGTGCGTATGTTTTGATGTGCTTCAAGGTGACGGGGGTGATGTATCCAGGAAGCGGTTCAGCTACGAATCCGACAGTTGTTGAAAAAACGTGATGTGTTTTGGGCTTCTCCTCGCACAACCGTGTACGACTTGCAGTATTGCGAGAAGGCCCGCCGTTCGATCACGCGAACACGTGATGGGTTTGCCTAACTGCAGTTACACTGATCAGACAAAGCTCGACCAGGCTAACGTACTGACCTACCAGACCTATCTATTATGTCGTCTAGCAATGCTTTTCGGCGTGCCCTCTGTAGCTGAGAATCCGCAGTCCAGCTTGATCTGGGGGGTCCCGGAGTTTAAGAAGCTCCTCGCGAACCCAGATGCATCACTCCATACTTTTCATATGTGCGGGTGCGGCGCGAGGTGGAGGAAGACAACGTCGGTCGCGTCGTTCGGTATCCCCGACATCGTTTCCATCGTTCGCGCGCGTCAGTCCCGACCCCCTGCGCCCTGCCAGTTCAACAAGCAACCTCGCATCATCCTGCCAGGTGCTGACCCCTCGGGAGTGAAGCGGGCCCGACGTGCAGCAGCCCACCCGAGAGAATTGGCCACGAAGCTGGCGACCTTGTTTGTCGACGCCGCCTTCCGGAAAGAACTCCAGAAAAAAACAGGGATTATTTCGCTTTCGGCCAGGTTTCGTTCGCACGCGAGCTCGCGATAATGGTTTCTGTGATTCTTTTTTTTTTCCCCGCCCTCGCCGCCCTGAACCACTGCGTTACACTTGCGCAATTTGGAGCTATGTGTATTCTGATACCTTTGTGCTTCGCACACCTCACGCGTGACTGCGTCGAGTTGGCGGTTCACCGCGCGAACAGAGACGGGTGCAAAAACCGAGGAGCTGGGGATGATAGGTATGCTTGCATGGGATTCATCTGAAACGAGAAGGTTTGCTCTCCTCTGTAGTCTTTTTTCCTTTCCCACCGCGCAGGTTTCACCTGTTCCCTCCCCGGTTTTTTCCCCACATCCTGAGTGGTGTTTTTGTTCCCCACATCCTGAGTGGGGTTCTTGTTTTCCCAGAACACCCGCTCCTTCCCACCCACCTCCCGCTCCATCTTCCATACAGCACAATATTATTCCTACCACACACACCATACCATACCATAGTTCCTACCACACATACCATACCATACCATACCATACCATACCACACCATACGTACCATACCGTACACACATACCATACCACACATACCATACCATACCCCTCCCACCCCTCCAGGGAGGCCCCGCCTGAGCGAGGAGGGTATCGGAATACCATACTATTTACATGGTTTCGTGCCCCTCCCACCCTTCCAGGGAGGCCCCGCCTGAGCGAGGAGGGTATCCGCAAAACCATACTATGTTACATGGTTTCGTCCCTCCCACCCCTCCAGGGAGGCCCCGCCTGAGCGAGGAGGGTATCCGCAAACCATACTATTTACATGGTTTCGTGCCCCTCCCACCCCTCCAGGGAGGCCCCGCCTGAGCGAGGAGGGTATCCGCAAACCATACTATTTACATGGTTTCGTGCCCCTCCCACCCCTCCAGGGAGGCCCCGCCTGAGCGAGGAGGGTATCCGCAAACCATACTGTTTACATGGTTTCGTGCCCCTCCCAAGCGGGGCCCCGCCAAAGCGAGGAGGGCATCAAGAAAATGGGTCCCACGAAACCGTTAATCTCTTTATGTGGGGAACTCCGTTAGCATAATTTTCCCAGAACGCCCTCTCCTTCCCACCCACCTCCCGCTCCATCTTCCATACAGCACAATATTATTCCTACCACACACACACCATACCATACCATAGTTCCCACCACACATACCATACCATACCATACCATACCATACCACGCCATACGTACCATACCGTACCATACCATACCATGGCGTACCATAGCATACCATACCATATCACACCAATGCCACACCGTACCATACCATACCATACCTCCAGTACCATACCATACCATATCATACCATACCGTACCATACCATACCTACCATACCTTTCCATACCACTCCATACCGAAAACCATACTACTTACATGGTTTCGTGCCCCTCCCACACCTCCAGGGAGGCCCCGCCTGAGCGAGGAGGGTATCGGAATACCATACTATTTACATGGTTTCGTGCCCCTC